TTTGTGGAAAATGAGAGTCATGAGAAAACAAACATTAATGATTTGGGATTATGTGGCTTGAAGTGAGTATTGATCTGGAGAACATTTTTTTTTCTTGCGCAGCTGATTATATACTTTAGAACATTGAAATACAGAGTGTGCAATTTATGATCTAATAATTTTCTATATACTAACGTAAAACCAGAAATGCCAAACTTAAAGCACTGATAAGTGATAATCACCATTTACTAACCAGCATTGTAATTAACTATCATAATGTGATACATGCATACCCAAATAACTATGAATCTATGATCACGAACAAATCTTAGTGGAAACTAAAACAATATGAATTATTTTCAACTCATGATCAAAATAAGCAAGTAATTTATGAACTTTGTGTAGATAGGTCAGAAATGATACCAAATGAAGGAGTACACGTAATCTCTACTACTGTTTCTTCAACTTCAAATAGAATAAGGGAACATCATGATAACATCGTGGACTTCAAAACAAGATGCTTCTCCTTTCCCACATTACCATTTCTCAAAGTAAACAAAACCTTTGCATACCTTTTTGAAATTCTGGGTCCTTCTCTTTTTCTTACTGTTTTAACCTTTTTCTAGAAGACTATATAGTCCAAGACTACTCACTATAAATGAGGAAAAATCGAAGGTTATACATGGCTTAAAAAAATCATGTAACAGAATCAAGAAATGAAATGAAGAGCTCAACAAAAGAAACAGTGAGGATCAATATTAAAATCAACTTTATGTATGAACTCAAACAAAGAGAATCGAGAGAATCAAGAGATGGTTAATCGTAAAATTACCCTAGATCGAGGCTCTTATAGCCAAGAAACAAGTCAAGATCGTCAGATTCAAGACATTGATAAGTTGAATATAGATCAAGAGGGTTTTACGAAGAAACCCTAACAGATCTCTATTGGCAGTATACCCACCTCCTTCCCACAAAACGCATATATACACACATGTACAGGAGGAGGTGGACAGAATGCCAAAGATGTCTGTAAGAAACTCTTTGTCAAACCCTCATGAAAAGGAACAAAAGTTTAAAGATCCAATCTATTTCCAGTGTTCTTTAAGGAAACCCTCTCATAAAATTGGAGAGACACAAAGGAGTATTTTGATAGATGGAATAGTGATGGGAGAGAAGGACGGTGGTGATATTTTTGGTATTGAGAGAGAGAGAGAGAGAGGCAGATGAGTTCTCGTTATGATGGGATATAAGCTTGGCTTAAAACCCTAGATGGTTGTGATGGAATAAGAGAAGAGATCGAAAGGATTCGGATTTTAATAGACCTCAGATCTAACAACATCAACACATAAAAGTGGAAGAGAGAGATTAGAAAAGAAGTAAAAAGAGAAACTGTGAATAGCTTCTTTTTTTGTTGGTTTTTGTTTTGTTACCTCACTAAATTGTTTTAGCAACTTTCCAACGGGGTTCACCTTTGCGCCTACCGTTTCCGTTTGCTTTTCTTTATTTTCTCAGCCTTTTTCCCGGATAAAGAAACGTTGACGTTGGCAATATCTACAGAGTGTAACCCAAAATACAAATAATAATAAATAACTGACAACAGAAATATATATATATATATATATATATATGAGCATTTATAATTATTTTATTTCTTTGATGAAAGAGCATTTGTAATTTGAATAATAAAGTATCACCTCCTGCATAGTTTTTCTTGTATGACTTGGTTTATTTTCTAAGAATGTAGTTCTAGACTAAGAATGGGTTTAGTTTTTGGCTGAAAACAATTGCAGCAAGTTATTATTCGTACTCATTTATACCAACTCATTGTTAAGACCATCTTATCAATGGGTTCTTAAGAAAATCTAAGATGATCTTAGTAATTTTTTAGTATTACTACTAAGAACCAAAGTTAAGATGAGTTGAGGGAGTTGCTTACCTAAGAACCAAAAAGAGGTGAATCTTAACTTTGGTTCTTAGTAATAATACTAAAAAATTACTAAGATCATCTTAAGATTTTCTTAAGAACCCATTGATAAAGATGGTCTAAGAGCAGAAACGGAAAAAAAATGTTGGAACTTTGATCGTCTTGTAGTGATTGTTTTTGTTTTTGTTTTTTTTTTTTTTGTTGTTGTTTTTGTTGTTCATATGTAATTTTCTTGATATTCATCATATATTCATATATATTAGCTACAAAAACGTTACGAACTAACAAAATATATTAGTATACAAGCGTGCACCATGCATGTTGTCACGTTGATCACTACAACCGTTACTTATAAATAAACTATTTAAAATGAATAATAGTAACGTAAAAATCCCAAATTACGGTACCGACCGAATTGTATCAGTCCAGTGTCCACGTACACGTTTGCAATGTATCTCAGTGCAAATAGAATCGGAGTCGGATGATAAATTTAAATTTATTTATTAATATATAGTTGACATGCTTTTTTAATAAATAGTTATGGTAGTATAATATTTGGAATGATCATGTTGATGCGAATATAACAATTTCCTCACTTCTGGTTTATGCGACGGTGTGAGACAACTTCCAATTAATGGGTCCATTTACTAATCCACTAGAGGCAGTGGATTACAGAATCCAAGGCTCGGGGTAAAATGAATAAGACGTCTAAAGTTTGAACCTATATGACTTAAACCATCAACTATATATATAAGGGCTAAATAAAGAAGGGTAAGATCTTTGGGGTTAAAAAGGGTTCATCACTTCTCTCTTTTTTTTTGACATGGCCACTCTCTAATATTACAATAAATGGAATATACATAATTGTTTGATACATTATAGATTAGCAATAGGAATTTAAACATCTTTCCCTACAGTCTAGTGATATGTCGCACTCATCACTCCCACGACCTTCATGATCTCCTTTATGCTCCTAGACAAAATTGCTTCGACAAATCCCTACTTTTTGTTTAGTTTTGAGTGAAAAAAGGAACAAACTTCATAAAAGTGGAGTTAGTATTGTCATAAATCCATTTGAACAATAATAGTTGACCCCTTCAAGATATTAATTGCACCAACTCATAATAATACGTACTTCCTCACTATTTATTGCCTGAAATCTACCCACCCCCTATTTTTGGCCATCAACACCTCATACTCTCTCAAATTTTAAGAACTGAACAAAAAAAAGTTAATTCAAAACATTGATAATTTGAAATAATTTTTCCTATAAAGATTTAAAGTTCACTACTAAATTTAAATCAAATTCCTTTTTTTACTGGGATTAGCGAGAATGAAGTTTCACGGTTTGTTGGATTCAATCGACTACGATAACTTGGCCGTTTAGAAAAAAAAAAAAAAAACTTGGCCAATTGAAAAACAAAACATTCAAGTAGAAGTAGCTAGGTACACTGTCGCTTATAGACTCACCGTAGTAATATCGTCTGCCAATTTATTTTAGTTTTCACATATATGCATTAGGTTTATGGCCAATGGGTTTGATATTTATATGCATTCAATGATAATGAAAGTAAAAACTGATATAGCGGGTTTGTCGGATTGTGAAGATGTCAGTGCTATGATTGAACCATTTAATAAAAGTCTCAAATTTCTGCTTTCCAGAGCATTACAGGCTATTGGATTCAACTTCTGTATTGTAAGGTTTAGTTTTATATTTAAAAAACAAAATTAACAAATGTGAAAATGTGTTCTTTTAACACCGAGCATCAACGATTTCAAGTAAAACTTCCATAAGAGCATCAACAAAATTATGGTGGATGTCAAATTTATATGTTAATGTCTTTACTTTAATTTATGCACTTTGAACGTAAAAACCCAATTTCACATATTGACATAAATCGGACCATTAATATATATGAGAATCTAACTGTTTTTTTTTTTTTTTGTGTAAAGATAGTCTTAAATTTTTGTGTGGTTATATACACATTTCCATAAAAAAAAATAACTAGTCTTAAATTTATCATAGCTAGCTAGCTTTATTGTTGTGAACACTTATAATTTGTCTACGAAAACTGTTTGTAATACTTCAAGCCTGAAACATCCTAAAGGAGTATAGGTTCAATTCCTTCGACTCACTATATATACATTGGGGTAAAAAGGTTGGCAAAAAGTGGATTAAATACTAATAAGAACAATTACAAGTCGCCCGCGCAAATCATAATTACGGTTTGGCAAATTATTCCCTTCTTGTCACCTTTTTCCTTCTGCATGCGTAGCACTCTCTCATGCATATCATCATCATTATCGTCATGTACTATTCATTTTATGCGTATTAATTCGAATCCACGGAATAACATTTTATTACAATTTATATATTTGTTATATTCTCCAATTTATTAATGAAAATTAAAAAAAACTTTGTTATGGTCGATCGCAAACTTCTTAGTTACAATTTTTTTTATATATCAATATACAGAACACAAATCAGAAAAATATATTTTAAGAACTTTACTCAATTGGTATGTTAGCTAAAAAGAGTTATATTTCCATCCAAATTCTTTACAAAGAAGAATAAGTTGAATTTATTTTTGTTTTTCTTTTTACTTGGGAAGATCTATGTGAGATTCCAATTCCATGATTACAAATCTTTTAGGGCAGCATATCACGTGATGCAGAAGGTATTTAATGAATAACTTGATTTGTTCTTTATGCAGTTGCCGAGTATTTATTGTCATTTTTAATTCATATACACATATATAAAAAAATACAATCTCTATAGAAAATGACGATTGCAGAAATATAAAAACGTAGAAGATAAAGGATTGAAGAGACAGTGTTGGGTTGGGTCGAACGTCAAGTGATAGGATGTCACAAAAGATTGGCTTTTTGTTATATGATTTCAAAACATGAATCATGAAGTCCCATGACTATATAATATTCACATCACCTACTTTTAATTTGGGTATCATTTACCCTTTTACTCCTCCTGTATTATGTTTTCATTTTCTAACATTTAAATTGATCATGGTTTAACTACAAGTCATGTCTACTAGGGTTCAGTTTTAGCCTCCAAAATGTTATTCAACATTTGTAATTTTACTTAAAAAACTATTCATTCATGCAACTTTCTTTTTTTTTTGTCGGCCAAATATTCCATTATATAAGGAAAAAGTACATAGTTTACAACATACATTCAATAGACCCAAGAGATTGTATATGGAGAAAGCTTTTGACGAGCTTGTTTGGCTAGATTATCAGCCATTACATTTTCTTCTCTACCAACAAACTTAAAGCAGTAGCGACCTTTAGCCAAAGCAAGTATATCTTCTATGTAGTTTTGAATCTCATGATTGCCTGGTTCAGGATGATGTTGAAATACAGCGTGCTCTAGGTAGCGGTAGAGAGTAAGAGAGTCACCACAAAAAGTGACTTGCTGGTAATTAAGCTTTTTTAGCTGGAGAATGGCTTCTCTTAATGCCACCGCCTCTGCTTCAAGAGCTGAACTGGTGGGATCAGTTGAAGAAGATCCATACAGGACACAACGCCCTTGAGAGGTATAAAGAGCCCAACCAATGCCAGCTTTGCTGTTGGAGTCAATCCAAGAACCATCTGCATAACAATAGAGTGGGGAATTACTATGCAAAACCTGTTGTATGTGGAGAAACTGCAGCTTTATGTCCTTCTGGAGGATGAGGTGTTGGATATTATGAGCTGTTTGTGCTTCTTTCCACAGGCGAAAATCCAAGATAGCTTGATGTATGATATCAGGAATAGCCCATCGTTATTGTTAAATAATAAATCATTTCGAGCTTTCCATATACGCCAGCCAATATGAAGGAATAAGAATGCCTTGGGATTTTCCGGGTCTTTAAATGATAGAAGTTCTGGAAGAATATCATATAAGGAAGTAGCACTATCATACTGACCTGGCCGCATCCCAATGGGTGATAGCTCCCAAATCTCACGAGCTAGGCGGCAGTGAAACAGCAAATGCAAAGTAGTCTCCTTGGCCTCCCCACAGAAGATACATTCTGGTGAGATCTTGATGTTTCGACGAGCAACATTTGCTGCAACAGGAATGGCATCATGTAAGACGCGCCACCAAAAATTCTTTAGTTTTGGGGAGGTATTTAAAGACCAAAGAGACTTGCATAATGTATTAACTTGGCTAGAGACAGAGCTCTCTGCATTCGTTTTGGTAAGCTGATGATATCCAGATTTTACTGAATACTGACCATTTTTGGTGAATATCCACATAGGAGCATCATTAGCTCTTAGAAGTCTTGGCCGTATTCTTTTGATAAGCTCAATGTCTTCAGGACATATGATATCATTTAGCTTCTCTTCATCCCAAGATGTAGAATGCGGCAGCATAAGACCTGAAACTTTCAAATGGTCAGGAGGTTGATTATGTAAATAGCGGGCAGGGCGTGGAGGGTTGTCTATCCATGGATCATGCCATACTCTGACAGTGTTCCCGTCACCTATTCTCCACTTTAAGCCTTGTTTAATAAGTTGCATACCTTGAATTATACTTCTCCAGGCATGACTTGGACGATGTCCTAATGTGGCTTCCATTAGAGCAGACTTGGAGAAATATTTGGCTTTCAAAACTCGGCTGAGCAGAGACTGGGGGTTTTGTAGCATTCTCCAACTCTGTTTTGCTAATAGGGCAATATTAAAATGGTTAAGGTCTTTGAATCCCATACCACCATTCTGCTTCAATTGAGTCATCTTATTCCATGCTACCCAAGGTATTTTATGCTTCTCCTTGTTGCTAGACCACCAGAACCTTCTGATTTGAGCTGTAATTTGGGTAGTAAGACGCTTAGGTAAAAGAAAACATGACATAGTGTAGGTAGGGAGTGCAGTAGCAACAGATTTAATAAGCACTTCTTTTCCAGCCTGAGATAAAACTTTGAATACCAGTTATCTAGCTTATGCTGCACTCTCTGGGAGATATAGGCAAAAGCATCATATTTATTCCTACCAACAGCTTCAGGTAGACCCAAATAACGCCCAAAACCAGTTCTAGAGATTCCCATTAGCCCTTTAATGTATTGTTGAGTATCAGTAGGAACACTCTTACCAAAGAGTATGGCTGATTTTTGGAAATTGACATGTTGGCCTGAAGCATTGGCATAGAGCTGAAGTAGTTGGAGAACTTGCTGACACTCAGCTTTATTGGCTTGAAAGAAGAGAAGAGAATCGTCAGCAAAAAAACATATGAGATATTTGTGGTCCATTACGGCTGGCCTTGAAACCATGAAGTGATTTGGTTTGCATGGCATGTGATAGTAATGAAGATAGACCTTCTGTGCATAGTAAATAAAGATAAGGCGAAAGTGGATCACCTTGTCGAAGTCCTCTAGAAGGTTTGATTTTGTCAGTTGGAGAGCCATTAAGAAGCACTGAGTAAGTCACCGTCGTGACACATTTCATGACCCATTGACACCATATTTCTGCAAAACCAAAACGCCTTAGCACCGAGTGTAAATAGTCCCATTCTATCTTATCAAAGGCTTTGGCTATGTCAAGTTTCAGCGCCATGTAAGGTGACTTTATTCTTTTCGTACGCAGTGAATGCAGGAGCTCATGTGTAATGATAACATTATCAGTAATAAAACGCCCTGGGATAAATGCAGATTGAAATTCTGAAATTAAGCAATGTAACCAAGGCTTGAGCCTATCTGCTAAGATTTTAGAGATTAGTTTGTAAGCTATATTACACAAACTAATCGGTCTAAAATCTTTTACTTCAGTTGGGGATTCCACCTTAGGGACTAGGCAAATATATGTATGATTCAATTCAGGATCCAGATAGCCAGATTGGAAAAAACACTTGATAAAATTGACTACACCTGACTTGATTGTCGGCCAATGATATTTGTAGAATCCTGCATTTAGCCCGTCAGGTCCTGGGGCCTTATCAACATTCATATGGGATAAAGCCTGGTAGATTTCCCCCTCAGAAACTGGTTTGGTCAGCTGCTGGTTCATCTCTACTGTAACTTTGGATTGGATATGTTGCAGAACTGGTTCCAAGTTGTTACTGCCAGAAGAAGAATATACGTCAGTAAAGTAAGAGTGAACAACCTTTTGGATTTCTTTTTCTGATTTTGAATAGTGCCATGTGTATCCTGAATAGATGTAATACGGTTATGACTCCTCCTTTGCTGCGTTTTTGGCATGAAAATATTTCGTGTTTTATCTCCAGCTTGCATCCACTGGATGCGACTTTTAGTACGCCAAAACTCTTCTTCCAGTTGATATTCATGCTGTAGTTTACGCTTAAGATCCATAATATAATTGTAATCTGGGGAAGGAGAATCATACGCTTTTTGGATGGCAAGATGGAGTTGCTGGATCAACTTGTGAGAATTGAGATTTTGTGCAGATTTCCAGCGTGAAAGGCTGTTCCTGCAACGCTTCAAAGCTTCACAGAATCGTTGTGGTGGTAAGTGACTGCAGTCTTGATCCCACGATTTTTGCAAAGCCATATGAAGGTCTTGCTTAAACCTCCATCGGTTATCATAACGAAATTGCTTTGTGCCTTTCCATTTATTGTTCTCAGTTTGAAGCAAAAGAGGCCGATGGTCTGAGCCTATCCAATCCAAAAGTTGAACCAGTGCCTTAGGAAATTGATTCTTCCAATCTGCAGTAGCAACAATTCTATCCAATTTAGATTTAACTGTCCCAGTGCTTCGGTTACCTATCCAGGTATACAAGCCTCCATAGGTTTTAACTTCATGTAAGCCAGAAACTCTTAACATCCTCCTGAAATTGCTAAACTGCCATTCTGGCTTTGCAGGTCCTCCTAATTTTTCTGAATTACATTGGATTTCATTGAAATCGCCAAGAACGAGTCTGGGCTTGCTTTGGTAGAGACCAGCTTTGACTAGAGTTTCCATTTGAGCCACTGTTGCTGTCTTAGCTTTCGCTTCGGGTTTCCATAGACGTATGTCAGACAAAAGGTAGTTGGCCCTTCCGATATATACATATCTGTATAGTAAATCACACTTTACCGTATTTCGCCAAAAGATAGCTAATCCTCCGCTTAAACCATCAGGCGATACCAGAAAATGATGGTGAGGAATGAACTTGATATCCTGTTCCTCACATTCATGCAACTTTCAATTACTACGAATCTTAATTTCCAAAGAAAAAAAAACATATTGCTCAAATATGTGGGCAATAACAATTGTTTCAAAAATATTCAAGGCCCACTCAGGATATTAGACCTTCAAGGCCCATTTCTTAATTGTGCTCTGATTGTCATACGACGTCGTAGAGAAGGGACTCCGTCGTCATCTAAGCACTAGGGTTCTACGAGTGTACTGTTGCTCGACCAGTTAGTGGTGAAAATGGAGAATCAGGAGCCGGAAATCGAGAAATTGCCTCAAGAAGATGTTCCTGATCGAGAACCAGACCAGAAGAAGCTCAAGATTTCAACCACCGGCCAGGAAACTGATTCCTCGGCTGTTACCGCCGGCGGAAGCAACGTCGCCGAGCGTAGAGCGCCGAAATACAGACGCCGGAAAGTCGCAATTATGTTTGCGTTTTGCGGAGTAGGATATCAGGGAATGCAAAAGAATCCCGGCGCCAAAACCATTGAAGGTGAGCTCGAAGAAGCGTTGTTCCATGCCGGAGCAGTACCTGAGGCTGATCGAAACAAACCAAGAAATTACGAATGGGCACGATCCGCCCGTACCGATAAAGGAGTGAGTGCGGTGGGACAAGTTGTTTCTGGTCGTTTTTATGTTGATCCGCCTGGATTTGTGGAGCGTCTCAATTCGAAGCTCCCTGATCAGATTCGTGTGTTTGGGTACAAGCGTGTTGCGCCGTCGTTTAGCTCCAAGAAATTATGTGATCGGAGGAGGTATGTGTATCTAATTCCGGTTTTTGCTTTGGATCCATGCGTACATAGTGAAGCTGAGATGGTTAGAACGGAATCAGGTTACGAATATGTCAAATGTGTTGAGTGCTCTGAGAAAGGCTATAAGATTCCAGTTGGTGTTATGGGCAAAGACACTGAGTGTGATACAAAATCATTGGAGATTCAGTCAGCCATTTCGTCGAGCAACTTTGATGCATTAGGAACTGATGTCAAGTGTGAAACTTTGAGCTCTAGTGTACCTAATGTAGAAAGTAACTTAAACTCAGAAGTTCTAGATGGGGCTGATGTATCTGCTACGACCGAGAAAAACCCTGATTCAAGCTCTAAAGCAGAGGATATGGAAGAATCGAATTTGGATTCTTCGAAAGAATCGAATACTTTGGCTAAGGTAGAGATGAACAATGGGGGAGGAGGAGACATGACAGAGAGCAAGTTCTGTTATGGAGAGAAGGAAAAGGAGAGGTTTAACAGAATTCTAAGCTATTATGTTGGTTCACATAACTTCCACAACTTCACCACCAGAACGAAAGCAGCAGACCCAGCTGCGAATCGCTATATTCTCTCTTTCAACGCAAACACAGTGATTAATCTCGATGGAAAAGATTTTGTCAAGTGTGAAGTTGTTGGACAGAGCTTCATGCTTCACCAAATCCGGAAAATGATTGGACTTGCTGTTGCAGTCATGAGGAACTATGCACCTGAATCACTGATCGAAACTGCTTTCAAGAAGTAAGCTTTTTGTTTCTTACTATTTCCCTGAATATATAATTGTTTGAGTCGTTTTGATTTGTATTGGTAACGGAATTGGTAACACTTCACCAGGGATGTGAGAATCAATGTACCGATGGCGCCAGAAGTTGGATTATACCTTGATGAATGCTTCTTCACGTCTTACAACAAAAGGTTTAAAGGCAGTCATGAGGAGGTGTCAATGGAAGAGTACAAGGAAGTAGCTGAAGAATTCAAATGGAAGCATGTTTACTCACATATTGGCTCAGCTGAAGAAAAAGATGGATCTGTGGCTATTTGGTTGCATTCTCTGAACCAGAGAAACTATCCTGATCTACGAAGCAATGAATACAAACCGGATGAAGTCATTGTCTATAAGAAGATTGGTGAGGCCTCTGAAGAAAATATCCATGAAGAGAAAATTACAGTGAAAGAGAACACTAATGGCACTGCAGAGCTATTTGTTGTCGATAAGGTGAATGATGAAACCTCTGAAGGAACAATTATGGTAGAGAGGACTACACTAGACGAGAAGGCAACCGAATGAAGCCGCTTTTTATCTACTGCGGATCACTGGATTCAAGCTTCACACCGCAGGACCAAACCGGACTAGTGAGCCAGATGAGTAACATCATGCCTCAGTTAAAAAATATATTTGGACATTTGTTTAAGTCTGTCCTTTGAGTTTTGTCTCTCATGACAAAATTTTGGAAACTCAAGTCATATGTTAGCATTGTGACATTTTGATTTTATTATAATGTTACCGAATAAGTATTGGCTATGCCTATATTATTTTTGTCCATTTTAGGAAAGCCATTCAAACTCTAATAATCTCAATAATAATCATATATAACCTCATCTTGTTGATTGTAAAAAAATGATAATCATAATAAGGCACCAACTAAGCACACGAGCATCACTAAGAAACAGATAAATCGAGCATGACTAAAACCGATTAATTAAAAACTCTCTTAACATATAAAATAAATCACACAACCAATAAAAATGGCCCTAACTGCCACCTCATCATCTCCATCGTGTTTTGCTTAACGTCTTCATTTCAATTTTACTCAGAGTAGTAAAAGTATATTCTCTTAATGGTTCCAGATAGACATGAGTCCTTCTTACGCCATCAGAAAAAAAGCTGTAGAGCAAAATTGGAAAAATTTGAGAGAAATGTTGAAACAATGTATCTTCCGGCTTACTTAGTATAGCAAGTTTATGCTACTAGAAGCATTCGTTTTACATACATGAATCTCTAAAAGTGAATTGCATCACATAGACACGGTTCCTAGTGGTTAATGAATGGAGGAGTGAGTATGTATGATGGTGACAGAAAACAACAAAAGCTATAATATCCAAATTTGGATAAAGAAGCTCTTAAGCGTGTTGAGAAGTTGAGACGTTAAGGAAAAAGCAGAGCATAGTGGAATCAATCTCTCGGCTATAAAAACAGAGCAATGGGTTCACAACACAAATCACAACAAAGAAAACAGAGTTCAAGAGAATCAAATAGCAAAAAAAAAACTTAATATTCTTTCAAAAACAAAATGGGGATCGTAGGATTCCAATGGGGTGAGGGAAACTACAACCAACTGACGCTGCTGATGAACCGAGATAATTATGTAAACAGGCAAGTTTAACATTATTCGTCGTTTTTTTGTTTTAATTTTGGGCTGAATACTTTTTTGATGTTTTTTCTTTTCTTTTCTATGAGTGATTAATAGGGTCATAAGTCGGGCATCTTGGAGTGGAAATGGCCAGATTTTGAGTGGTCGGTGCCAAGATAACGGCGGGTCGTGGTTTGGTATTTCTAGAGGAGGCCGAGTCGCTTTTCTCGTGAGTGGAGACTTATTAGTAGACCGCGTTCTTCCACACATGGGCTCTGAATTGTACCTAATTGAATTCTTGGAGGTTTGTTTCATATGTTTTTGTTTTTCATTATTATTCAAACATCTTTGTTTGGTAACTATCTAAACATCAAGGGATTGCTTTGTTTGATTGCAGGGAAATATGACTCCATTGGAATTTGCCAACGACGTGGCACACAGATATGAAATGGTCTATTTGACGACCTTTAGCCTTATCGTCGCAGACATGCCTTTGAATTCAATGTTTCATATCAGGAAACTACAGCCGATGGCCGTCAAATCAGAAATCGTACCATTTGGTGTGCACACACTATCTGCTCACGGTGGTCTCGATGGCACATTACCCCGGGTAATTATTAAGTACAACAAGTGTTTGTAACCGAGTCGAATTGTTAGGATAGTTCATTTTTGTAATTCTTTTTTTATAGTCTCTTTTTTCTTTTCTTTTTTCTAAAACCAAACACGCTGTCTTTTTTATTTGTTGAGTATTATGCAGGATTTACTCATGAGAGGCTTTTATAATCAGATGTATGGGAACAATCCACTACCACCACTTGAGCTTGCTAGGAGGTGTATGTCTAATGCTGAGGGAGGACCACACGACGCGTTGTATCTCGACAAAATGGTTGAGCATTTCGAGAAATTTAATCTGACATTTTTTATGGTCCATCCTTGTACCATCACTAATCTCTTTCTTTTCAATTCGGTTCAGTATTATGGGGGACGCTTTGGAACAACAAGTACGACAGCATTGGTGGTGGAACGCACTGGGAGAGTAAGGGTCTTTGAGAGGTACATGATGGAGAATGGTACATATAACACGCACGATTTCGATTTCGATCTCCAAATCGGGCAGTAGAAATGGTTACAAATTAAGAAGCATTGGGAAGCATCCGAATATTCATTATTCTCTCTAATTAGTAAATAATCTCGTTGATGCTGTAAATAGATCTCTCTCAAATTTATTTACCTTGTTAATAAGATTCAGGGATACCTATTTCCTTGGACACACTACATATAACTCTAGTCGTCTATGAACATTATGCTTGACTATAAATAAATAAAATAGTTGATTTTCTAAGACTTTGGTATGAAAGTGATCAAGTTTTGCGTACGGATGCAAATCTTCAACGTGTGTCACAAGAATTCTCTTATTTTCTCTTTTGTTTTGGTATGTTAAGTATTAAATAATTTTCCACATGTATATACTTAAGTGTCTATTTGATAAAACAAGGTCACCTATTAACCACTAGGCTCGGATTACCAAAGCTAATTAAGACCAAATACTAGTTGGATTTGAGTCTTAATTAAACTTGTGTGCCACTAGAAACCACTTTTGTTTATTTTTAGAATAATACAAAATATTTCTAAAGTGTTCCACATACATGACTCCTCCTTAATCAGTAAAAAGCTAGATCAAAAGTGGAACAATTTGGAAAATAGAAACTGTGTTTCAGTTAGTCAA